TTTTTTTTTTCTGTACTTTTCTGCAATATGTTTTTTTGCTATATTTTTCTGCAATATGTTTTGTTGCATTTTCTATAACCTGTTTTGCTGTTGCATTTTTTTGCAATCTTGACTGCTTTTGCTTCTACATTTTTGCTACATTTCCCCAGCTGTTTTCTGCACTGTTTTTAAACCAGAAAATTCTGTATTTTCCCCAGAAAAATTTTGCATTTTGCTGCATTTTTCCTTGCTGTTTTTGGCATTGTTTTTTCCCCTGAATTTTTCTGCCATTTGCCAAGTTTTGTTGCTCCTTGCCAAAAATGTTTGGTAGGTCAGCTGTCATCTTTGGAAATTTATATATGACTATGCGTGTGAGTTATATATATATATATATTAGTAAGGTTTTGGTGGGTAGAATGGCAAGAGGAGATAGGGAGAAATTGTTCCTTTGGGATAGAACTTGGTGCTAGAATTAAAGATCAATTTTAGTTGAATGAGGCATGCTGTGACCCTGTTGTTCTTGATTATGAAATAGGTTCTAAGTCACCACTATCTCCTTGAAACCTTAAATACTTACTACTGTAAGCCTACAAGAAGAGGTAAGTAAAAGTATGGTAATGCCTTTGGATTTGAGGTAAAGGTTTTTGAAAGCATATTTCTGATGATTTTTGAAATGGTTGCGGGATTAAACCCGTTTTACACAAACAAGAGCATGATCGATTTAAAATGAAATTATTATCATTTTCATTGAGTTGAGCATGCTTACTTGGAGTTTACTTAACTGCCTTGATGATCTGGAAATTATTTGTAAATTATGATTTTTCTGTTAAATCCTGCTTGGTTTTGTCTCCAATATGGTCATGTTTTACTGTGCTCGCTAGTGGGAGCTTTATAAACCCTAGCACATATCGACATATATTTCTAGGAACCAATTCATCCTGTATTCATGCTAGTGGGATAATACACTGGTTACTACTATGCCCACCAGTGGGAGGTTTATAAGCGTTGGCCATGACCTACAGAGGAGATGTCTATTTCATTCCCGTACTTGTACATATTTTTCTTGATACATGATTACACTTGTTGGCATGGTAAAAATTTTAATTAAGGGTTATCCATATTTTTACTTATTGAGTTATCTCACAGAGTTTTTCCTCGTCCACCATTTCAGGTAGTAAAACCAAAGACGTGGGAAAACTGAGGGGAGTGACGAGCTAGAGGGCTAGCCATTTGTGTTTCAGGCTGATGGGAATCAAGACGACAGCATATCTACTATGTCATGTGATCCATTACACACCCAAGGAGGACCAGTCACGCGAGCTAGAGCTAAGAAGATGCATGAAGCTTTAAATGGCCTTATTGAGCAGATTTGGATTGAAAACAACATACAACAAGCAAATCGAAGTTTGGATGATTATCAAGGCATGGTAAACATCATTTAGGTTCAAGAAAAGCTTAGTTGAGGTCATTTGCACGGTTTACACAGTTTGCGTCAAAATCGCACAATTCTGCCGCAATTTATAGCAAACTAATATTTCGTGTTATTTTAGGTTATTTTTAATGATTTTTACGTTTTTTATATTATTTTTGGGCTGAACATTCGCTTATTTGAAGCCCATTTCGTGGTTATTAGGTTTAAGACTTAGGGTGTTAGTTTCCTATTTTGATTAGGATTTCTTTTCTCTATTTAAAAGGCTTGTAACCTTAACGGGGGGAGGTTATTGAATCTGAGATTTTGAGAGACTTTTCTCTTTGATTCATTTCAGAACTTTACAGAACTTATCAAGATTATTCTTGTGGCGTTCTAAC